TATCATATATTTACTATTTGTAACAATATCATTAAAATCAAAATGTGGTATAGAAATAAAATCATGATCATTCCATGTTAATTCATTATTAATAGAATTTTTTGTTTCCGAACAAATATATAATTCAGATGGTATTTGAAATGACCATGGATCAATAAAGGATTTTTGATCACTAAGTACATTATCATCATGATCATCTTCTTCATATTGAATTTGATTTGTTAGAAGATGTTTGTGATAAAATGGTTCTGTTATTGATACTAAAGCTGAATATCGAGTACGTTGTTTTGTTGAAAGTGATTGTGTACGAGGTAAAATATCATCCGTTGATGTTGTTGGTGCAGCAAGAACAGGTGAATGAATTTGTTGACTAGTAGCACATGATGCTGATGCACATCGTTGTCGTTTTTCATTTGCTGATGTTGGTGAACTATCATCTAATTGCTGTTGTGGTTGTTGTTGCTGATTATCAAGACTATGTTCAGATGGTGAAACATAAAAAGTTGCTTGACGTTGTGGTGTTGAAACAATAAGGATATTTGGATCGTAACGACCAAGAATTTTTCTCCAATGAGATGGTAAATCTATGAAGGAAATTTAAAAAAATTATTTTATATAAATTTTGTGAAATTCATATTATGTTTTTCGAAGAAAAATATAGTAAATGTAAGTTTTAAGTCGAACTAAGCTTATCGAAATAAATAATAGTGCGTTGAGGTTTGCTGTAGATTTGATAGATATGTACGATCAGATTATTTGCCAATGGTTAGAATAATAATAATGTTAAATTAAAAGAAACAGAATAATAACAAGACAAATAAAAAACTTATCAGTGCGGCCTCATGAGAGGCTGGAAAGTTGAACTCTTAAAGTTTGACTGTTATATATTTATATTATATTGTCAGAGGAGTTCAAATAATTTGTTTTAAAAAAAAATACCAAGTAAATTAATAAATAGAAATGATAACAATTTTTATAGTTGATACGGGTGCTCTGAAATTTTATCATTTCGAAAATGTTTGCATTTAGAACAATTTATTAGGTTCATTTAACATCTTTATACTGAAAAAATTTTAATTTATTTGTCATATACATCTTCAATGCATAACTTCTTTTCTCCTAGTGATAACATATACGATACATGTCATAGCAAGCGGCAAATATCATTATATTCTGTGTTTCTCAATCACCATATTAGCCTACTATATATATTGATGTAATCGCTCAGTAAACTTCCGAGTATACTACCATCCTTTCTCTCAACGAATTTTGGCATATATTGTTGAGATTTGTCTAAACTTAGTATGCAATTAGTTCAAAGTTTTCCATGTTCATCCTTTTCTGACTCTGCTAGATCAATAATATTATCACCCTACTGATTGACATCTACGATAAGATTCTGTCGCTGCATTACATACCAAACACTACAAAATTTAGACTAGTTAGAATCTACAGTGGAAATCTTAGGTTTATAGAATACTTTAGAAGATTCTAGACAGCTCCAGAATGATCTAGACGAACACACCTTTAACCTTTACTAAGAAGATGTACCTGATGATCATTGACTTTTCTCTATCCATTCTCGGCTACCAGGACGTAGACGGGAGTAAAAATCTCAATTTAGACTGACATTCACTCTTTTCTTCGAAAATATATGTGAGTTCTACAAAATAGAGTGCTAGTAAAAGAATTCTGTTTGAAATGCAGAGATAAATAAGACAGATTGTTTCTCTGATGATCGATTATCCTTGGAAAACAACTATAATCCTGCAAGAGAGTTTTCATTTTATGTATTTTGTATTAGTATAATGAGGTACAAGAACACATATGAGTCGCATATTGTAGTTCCAAAAAAGCTGTGTTGCAAGCATTTATTATTTAAACTTACTTTGATCATAAATTGTTGAAATAGTATGAATAACTGCTTTGATAAATATTTGCTGCTGTTGATCAAAATGTTGAGTAGTTGGAGGCGATGAAAATGATGATAAATCATTATTACTTTGTAATTCTGGCATTGTTTTAACGACACGTATGTCTGATCCAGATGCTGGTGATGATGGTGTTGATAAAGGAGAAGAAGAAACATTTGGAATAGATAATGTATTATTAGTTTTAGTAGTTGCTGTAGCAGCATCCATTGTTGAAACTGTAATTGTTGGGATTGACGATGGTGTTGGTGTTGGACGAAGATAAGATTTGATTTTTTCCTTAATAAAATTTTAACATATAGAAAAGTCTAAGATTAAAATATGAACAAACTTTAATTTTTTGAAGTGGTGAACTGTTTGAACGTTTTGGAATATTTTCCGCTAAATTAAAAGGTAGAAAATCGTTTAAAATAATCAAATAAATAAAAAAATTTGTCTTACGTGGACTAGAAATGTCTAATGTATTTCGAAGGTCAGATACTTGATCAATTGATCCAGCTGGAGATTGTCCTGTGAAAAAAAGTATCCAGTATATATACAATTCAGAAGTATTATGTTTTTCTATATTCATACGTTTAAAATGATAAAAAGGTAAAATTCTTTTCATTTCTGAATGCATCCAATTCTGAGTTGCTGGTGATTCTCTTCCAAATAATGGATCAAGTGAAAGTTTTCGTGCTTCATAAATAATATTACATGGATATTGTCTTAAACGTTTAATTTTTTCTACTTCACGTTTACGATCACTATCAATAAGACGTGGATTAAAACGAACACGTTGAAACATAGGCATAAATATATGTTCAAATACATCAAGATTTTCATTTCGTTGAAATTCACGGTGAATATGATATAAAAAATTACATGGATATACTGTATAAAGTGTGTAAAATAATGCATGTGCTGATTGATTTACAATCCATAATTGAACATTTTCAAGAGAATCTACATAAGATGAAGAAGAACAATGAAATAAATGAAAATTTTCATTTCGATAATTAATTACGAGAATTTGTTTGAATTGACAATTGTCGAAGTGATGCTAAATGTTTAAAAAGATATTTGCATGTTGCTTTAAATATATTAAGAATTGATTCTGTTTGTTGAACAATTTCACCAGGTAAAGTTGCAGTTAAAGCAGAAAAAAAATAACAAGCTTGTGCTAAGACATTTGGATCATCTTTACACTAAATATTAAACAACTTTTTCATATAAAGTATGATTCGAAAGTTTTAACTCGTTTCATAAGAAGAGTTCTTCAACTGATGAGACTATGCAGATCTAAATGAGCTATGAACACTTTAAAAAGAGTTCGTGTCCTTATCTTATTGCTTCAGAGCTACTGCAGTTTTACGGTATTTTTTAAATGAACATCGAATTCATCCTCAGTAACACCAGAAAAACTTATTTTCGAATTTCGGCTTAAAATTTTGTATAGAGACAGGTCTCAACAAGAATAGATTGTTGTGAATATTTCAGATCTTGTTACTGTTCCTATCCGAAGATACTACTATGGTAATAGTGTATCTTTTACATCGTTTATATAAACCAGCAAATTTAATATTCTTATTTAAGGATAGAAGCAAATCAAAAGAAAGGATACAAACTCTTTTCACAGTATTTATAGCTCATTTGGGTCTACATAGTGCTCATAGTCTCAATTCAATAGCGACTTATCAGTTGGAAAACTTCCCTTGTTATTAAATTGATATTATGTATGACAGACTTATATGTAGTTAATTGATCGAAATATAATTTTGTAGAGAAATATTAGAGCTATCATCTTAAAAAAGAAATACTTCGAAATGGATAAATATAATGCAATGCTAGGGTTATTTTATTACTCTGAAATAAATATTTTCATCTTACATTTATTTTTAAAAATACATAAAGTTTTTTAATAAGAGTTGCATGTTTTTTATTTGGAAACGTTTTTATAGAATGTATCATTTTAGTCGAATGTTATTCATCATATAGTGATTTTATAAAACTATTCATATTGTTAAAACTTTTCACAGAGATGAAACCATTTGTAAATAGTGATATTTGACGTAGTCAACTTTCAACAATGTTTAATTACATATCCTCTATAATATACCCAGAGCAAAAAAATTAATAAGACATACTGGTCAGCAATATTGATTTCATTCTCTGATTTTTCACATTGTTAGTTTTATTTTATGAAGTTTACTGTTTGGAGTTTGTTCTCTGATTTGTCAGTAGGTATTTGAATTTATTTTGGCGACAGTTTTTACAGTTTTATCAAAAAGAAATCCTTAATACTCATTTCAAAGTCAAATAGATGATATATAATCAATAGAAAATTTGTAGGGTATCATTCGATAAGATTTAAGTAAATATGAATTTAATTCATTATATGATATCAAATAAATTAACTACATAAAGGTTTATCATAGATTTACTGAGAGGTCAAAATTTTTGAATTACTCGTTAGATTTTATCATATTTCTCTCATACCTTTGTAATTGCATTAATACAATTTGGAAGTATTAAACTATCTTTAATAAGTGTTGATAATCCAGATACTTGACTATGAATAATTAGACAGAAGATACGAAAAACTTTCATAATATGAGCGACTTTTTCTTGTTCTTCATGTGAATGTAATTCACTACTAATACTACTACTACTGGAATGACGATTACATTGTTTTAAACCTTGTGTATTTAAATGTTCGATCAAAACCTTTAAAAAAAGAAAAGTTCATTGTACTATTTATAATAGTATTAATTTACTAACTTTAGATGGTTCTTTTCCTGCTTCATTAAATTGTTTAATTAATAGAAGAGCATTTGGTGACTCTGTTTGAAAATAATATTCAATTAATTGATTGAGTAATGGCTGATTTGTTTGTTGATATTCACGTAATAGAGATTCAAGTAAATTTTGTCTTGTTGAAACAGAATCTCGTGTATTATCTAAGATCGCAAACATCTGAAAAAAAAAGAAAAGATAAAAAAAAACCTAATACAGATGTGCAAATTCCCAACAACAATATTTGTACTGATATAAAAGGGTTTAACAAGTGTAGAAATATTACACAATATCATGTTTCTAGCACTGATTATTCTCTGCATATCTATACCTTTCTCATCGACTGGTAAAATTGATCATTGGTCAGTCGGTAGTATTATAATCACTGATCCAACAACACAATTTCGACTTGATATTTATTCTCCAACAACCCCTGGCTCTTATCCAGTTCTTATTTTTTTACCTGGTCTAGCAGGTATAGTACCTTCACCATTTTATCACAAATTAGTATCAACAATTGCTGAGCTAAATGTTATTCTTATTGGAATTTCAAAAATTGAAAATATAAAACCAGAAAAAGTCGCTGTTCATATAGCTGAATTTCTCGAATGGGTTGTGAAACCAGATGATGGTGCTACTCGGCTTTTTGCTGAACATAGAGAAGTCAAAGGTGTTATACCAAATATGGAACATCTTGGTTTTATATCACACTCATCAGCAGCTCATCCACTCGGTCAATATCTCAATACAACATGTGGTCCAGTAAAATTAATTATTATGATGAATCCTGTTGATGGTATTGATCCATTCGGTTTTGTACAAGATTTCATCACACGTATGACAAAGAATAAGCAATCAATATTATCCTATTTTTTCTTATTTTATATTAAGATCCTCCAACTCCTCTTCCATTTCGAACACCAACACTAATAATTAGTAATGGTCTAGGTAAAAACTGAAATTTAATTTTCTTAGATTTTATAGATTTCATATGATCTTAGATAATGTTCCTGCTCATAAGGAAATTCCACCATGTGCACCAAATAATATCAGCAATGATCGATGGTATCGTTCATTATATGGACCGACATTTCTTGTTAATTTAACTGATTATGGTCATGCCGATAATCTCGATGAACCAATTCACGAGACTAGTAAACTTATGTGTGCATGGTGCAAGGGTACTATCTGTAGTTTTTCTCAATATAAAACTGAAGAAGCAACATTAATCACATCATTTGTTTATGCAATATTCAATCGAGATATACAACAATTACGGATTATTGAAAATCCACAAGCTTTTCTTGAAAGTCGTGTTTCAAACAAATATGATCTGCATGGTTATGATTATAAAACTGGAGGACCAGGTGGTTTTTGTACTCATGATTAAATAATGATTAAAGAAAAAAAAATCTGTAAATTTGTCCTATCTTATTTGTCTATTGTATACGTTCCATAGAGGCCATGTTTTTTGTGCCATTCTTCAAGACTTCCTTCTGGATAACGAGGATACGTATGAATATTTTTGCCTTTTGGAATTTCTACATGATTAAGTTTAAAATCGGTCATTATATGATAATATTCATCAGGTTTTGGTAATGGTGTATCAATAGATGATGTAAATGGATAAATCCATTGTGGATATTCATCATTATAAGCCCAAAGATATGAACCACATTCAGAACAAAAATGTCGTTTATGAGGACTTAATTTTGTACTTGATGAATCTTTTTTACCACTTTCAGTATCACATAGTTTAACTTGATAAATTTTAACAAATTCTTGACCTTGTTCTATTTTAAATGTTGAATATTCACCCATAATATTGCAATTAAATACACCAGTTGTTTTTGTATCAGCAAGACAATGACAAATCATATACGGATAGGGTGTATCTAAAACCAAACAAAAGCTTCAATAATTTAGAATAATAAATATACATACATGAATCGACTGAAAATTTTACACGTTGACAATGACAACTGCCTTCAAGCGTAACAGGTTTCGGCATTGATGAACTCATTATACAAAATCTTATAATTCTATTCTAAAAAATAAATATAAGCTTGATTTATTCTTTATTTAATTTGAGGAAGTAAAAAAAACAAGAACATTCAATATTCATTACAATAAAAATAGAACGGATAAAATAATTTTCAAAAAAACAATTAATGAAGAAAATGGAATGAAAAAAAAACAACACATGCAATGACCAATTGAAGGACAGATCAAATAGAATAAAAGCGACTAGGACTCCAGACAGACCAAAAGTTCATGGAATTAAATTCTGTTTTAACTCAACAACCGTCCACACTAAATCACCAATAAGAGTATAGGACAAGTCTCTTTCATGAATGCAAAGTACATAGCAGAAAATGTAAGTGCATTGATAGGCGTCACTATCGTATGTGTTGCATCTAATAAGTTGTTATTTTTCTGTGTAAAATACGACTAAAATTGTATGAAATAAACGATATTCATTATTGACGTCAGGAAATATCATGCAGGCATTGTTGAAATAAACATTCCTCCTTGACAAAAATGTATGTATATTAAGCGTCACACACATTTTTTTTGTATTACCGGAACGGTCTAGTATCTTATTGGTGCGTTAACGTTAAATCGTCTTGAAAAGATGACTTAATTCTGTTTTATTGTTTCTAATCATTTGATTGGTTAATTCAGCTTTAAAACATTCGGTCTGTCTGGGGCCTAGTTTGTATTTGTAATAATAATGATTGTTCATGTGCAATGGAAGTCAAAGAAAAAGAAAGAACAAATTAGAAATTTTACTTAGAAGATTTTCTCACACTTGATGCTCTCTAGCAAAATAAAATATATAAATTTATATTTTTTAATATCTAATTATTTCTTACGGTTGTCTGCGATCTATTTATTGATGCTGAATCCATACGAGAAATTAAATTCATTGATATATTATCTTGTTGAATAGGATGAAGTCTTGAAACAATTGATGATGAACTATCATAATATAACGATGCATCATCTGGCCTTCGTTCATTTATTGATAAATGAACTGTGCGTGATGATGTTGAATTTTGTTTCTCAATCATTTCAACAGGAGTCTGTTTACCAAATACCATCATTACTCGTTGTCTTTGATGTTGTTGTTGTTCAGCAATACGTTTTAGATTCTATGGATTCAAAAAAAAAACTTTTTTTTTGTCCTATTTTATTTTTTTTACTTGTGTTTGCGTGGGCGGTTGAATAGATCGCATATCAAGAACAGTTCGACTTTGTAGAGCATTTGTTGTTGTTGTTTTTGGTCGAGCTGATGATCGAGATGTACCAAGTGATCGTTCATTTACTTTAAAATAAAATATATAAATATTTTCTTTTTTTTATTTTCATCAATAAAAACTTACAATGAGCAGAAGCTCGATTCGTAACAGATGCATTTGCTGATTGTCGTCCATCTTCATTTGGATTTAGTATGTTTGTTCGACTCATATCAAAATCAGTGTCATTATCAGTTGCTAATTGATCAGTTGTATCCTATTTTAATAAGAATATGATTATTTTTTTTTCTAAAATATATAAAATTAAATTCATACATCCTCAACACGTGAAGATGATGCTAACATTGGATAAGCTGTTGATGAACCCTTTGTATTTGTTCCTGATTCACGTTCCAGACCTGGAAACAAAATTAACAAAAAAAAAAACTTGTTTCATTCTATCGTTTGTTATTGTTTACAAATTCAAGAATCTCTCAGATTATATCTTATTCTATAAAACGGTTTTAATTTTTATAAATTAAAAGCAAACAGTTATAAATATAGAAACAATAGTAGTAGATATCAGTTGATAAACAAACTACAAAAATATCTATGCACACCTCCTGTATGTGATATTGGAAATAATGCTGAAATATATGAAAATTTAAAAAATGAAAATTTTAATTTTTAAATACTTACAATTAAGTCTTCGAAGTAAATAAGTAGCTGTAAAAGCATCTCGAGATTGATTCGTTGATATAGGTTCATTAACTTCAGTTGTTTGGCATGACTGACCAGAAGAATAAGCAACTGGAACGTCTAAAAAATGATGATTGTTAACATATGACTGATAAGAAAAGAAAAACTTTTTTTGCAACAATTATTCTTTTCTTTTTGTTTTGTTTTCATTATTGATAAACTTCAATCGTTATAATGTTGAAATAAATAATCTTCATATCAAAATAAAGAGGCGCCACATATATTATTATTTATTTAATTCTCCTCTGAAATCTAACGGTCTCATTCTTAATTGTTATTTTCATTAATATTTTTACAAAGTATTATAAATATAATATTACAAAATAGGATTCGAAATACCTTCTTCAGGTAAATTCTCTGATGATGATGGTTGCCTTGGGAAAAAAGTAGATGTTATTAGAATATTATCATCTAAGGTTTGTAGTTGTTGCTGTATCTGTTGTTTTTCACGATCATCAGATGGCATATCACGAGATAAATGTTTATAATATTCAGCCTAGAAGAAGAAGAAGAAGAAGTAGCAAAAAAAGCCACACACAGATTGAGTAAGAAGAGAAGAAAAATAAAACAAACTCAGAATAATATTTATAACCCACCGTCTTCATGAATAGGACAGAACATCTGTGATTAATAATGATGAAGAAAATCGAAATGAAAAAATTTCAAATCAATAGATACTTGAGATCTTCGTGCTTTTTCTTCAGCTGTTGTTAAACGACTGTTTGTTATTTGTGTTGTCGATGTTGACCATCGATTTGAACGATTATTCATACCATTTGAACCTTCATATCGAACTGGATCATTATTAGTATCTCTTAATCGACGTGCCGATGTTAATGATATTGGTTTAGTCACATCATTAGTCTATGTATTATTAAAAAAAAACAATGAAATATTAATTAATTAATTAAAACAAAATAAATAATTTAAAAGCACTAAAGAAGAAGAAAAAACGAACAGCAAAGTATTAAATAAAATCAGTATGAATCAGAGATGTTGATGATTGGTTTTTGTTTTTGAACCGACCCGTTCGAGAACAAACTCGACCTATCTCACACATTGACTGATGTTTTTCTTCAACCCACGGGTTAATATAAATTCGTTAATTCTTTTTATTCATGCATTCATTTTTTAACTATATGTGAAAGTAATAAGGAGACTACCCGAACCGATACCCACCGTTTGAGCTTGTATTAGATTCACAATAATATCTCGGTAAAACTAGAAATATCCTCATGGGGTTCATGTTCATGGGCCTCTAGAACCAAATAACGACCATTTTATTGAATCTTCAACTCAGCTGAAAGTATTTCGATTTGAAATTTCGTTCATAAACAGGTAGACTAACTAGTAAATTATTGTAAAAGTTTCAGCCGAAAATAATGTTCCCTTGTGGAGATGTTGAATTTTCAAATAAACGACTATTTTTTGAAAAATTCAATTTCTCGACAAGAATACATTATTTTCGGCTGCAATTTTCAGGATATTCTACTAGTCATTCAATCTGTTTATAGACGATTTTTCAGATCGAAAACTCAGTGAAACGATCATAAATCGACTCCCGAGACCCTAGAGCATGAGCCCTTGTAAAATTTTTCTAGTCATACCGAGACATCCTTGCAGATCTAATATGAACTCAAATGGCAAGTATCAGTTCGGGTAGTTTCTTTGTGAGACATTTATAATTAGAATATTATTCTTTATTTATGAACATATGAATAAATACTGCAAAATTTCAAGGAAACTTCAAGACAAAATAATTGTAAGGTAGAAGTAGTAGTATATATGAATATATACAATATTAATATAGCAGATATGACTTCGACTAGAATCATAATGACGGTATATGCGCAAAAAAACTTGAAAAATAACTATAGATTACACATCTTTTATTCCAATTTTTTTTACTTTGAAGAAACTAATAACATATCATTCAATAAACTTGGTTTTGTACGGATGTGGGTATGAGTTTATGACGTCTAAGAGAAGACGTCCACCCAACACCCAAACCGCATTTATATGTGTGCATGCTTCAAAACAAGTAGATGAATGACTAGAACGAAGATTTAGTGAGAGAAAATGATAGAAAGAATCTAGGTGATGAAGAACGAAAGAAATAGTAAAAGCAACCAGATCAGTGATCGAACGAAGAAATGGCATGAGTAGTGAACGTAATTCTATGCAGAACGAAAGAATAAAGGATGTAAAGCAAAAATCATAAATGGTTTGAATCCACGAATACATGTAAAAATATCTAGTCTGTGAGTGCTGTCAAATGTCGAATCTGCGCGCGAACGGGTTCAATCAAAATGGGTAAGTCCATCAATATCTCTGATATGAATATAGCAAGAGATAATTCTAAGCAGCAATTGTAGAAAATATCTATGCATACCACAAATAGAATATATATATATATTATGCATATGTTTAATATGAGAAAAACCCGAAGAGAAGAACAAAAAAGAAAAAAAAGAGGATCTAATATTCATCTTTTTTCTGAGTAGATATGCCATGCAATTAGAAAGTACCAATCGCATTTCAATATGGGACACTTGAGCCTTTAAACAGGTTAAACATTTGCAAACGTGATAAGCCACATGATTACGACGTTTTCTTCTTTGTTGCATACATTCAAGTTCCGTCTAGAATATTTATTAATTTTTCTTGTCTTTAGTTGGATAAGATAATTTTCATTTCTCAATTATTTTGTTTTGTTTAGTTAAATTTTCATTGTCAATAAAAATCATAAAGAAGACTACTGTACTAAACTTACCTCCGATAAATTCCCATTATTATACGTTGTTAGAACTGAAGTTTCTAACAAATCCTTGAAAAATGAAAAAAGACAAAAAGGATGCACAACATAACTTTTGCTAAGATAAAGTTAGTTTTCTTAAAGATGATGTGAAAAATAAAAAAAAAAGGAAAATCATGATTGTGAAAAAATAGAAAGTTTACAGAAGAACACAAAAACTTACAATAGTTGAAAATTGAGAATGACGAATTTTTGTTAAGGGTAATCCAACAGTTTTATTCTAATCATAAATACAACATCAAATAAGACTGATAAGCACAACATTTGATTTTACTTTTTCAAGATTTTCTTTATCTATTTCATCTTTTCTTTTAGTTTCTCTAATTGGTTTTGTTGGTGCTGGTTTCTTTCTTGTTTTTTTTAATTGAGCCTTATAAAACAAGAAAGAAAAAAAAAGAAATATTTACCATATGAAAATTATAATATAAATGAAACTACTTTAGCTGCTACAATTGCTTCTAAATGTTTTGGTAAACCGTCATCTGTTGATGAATCTGATCCTGCGTCATCACTAAAATTGTCGAACAAATAAATAAATAAAAATTCCTATTATATTTTTTTCTTCTATACCTTGAATCATCATCCGATGAAAATTGATCAAGATCAATATCATCTAATGATCCTGGATTAATGCCACGTGATAAAAGTTTAATTTGTATAGAACGTCGTATATTATCTTCGAGTTCAAGTAATATTCGATCTCGCTAAAATAGAAAATTTTTTTGAAATCAAATTTTTCTATAATCTATTATAATAGAAAATGACTGACGAAACAATATCATAAAAAAAGGAGTACAAGAAGAATATAAAAAAAGCAAGAGAATATACATATATAAATATATATAGTAGAATTACTAATAGTACACGACGAATAGAATTTATATTTATTTCTTTTCGTTTTATTGTTATAACTAATTATGATTTTGATCGGTATATATTTGGAGCACTTTTCACCTTACGAGAAATATTTAATTTATTTGTTGTTCGAACTTTTAAATATTTATCATCAATAGATATTGTTAGTTCTTGTTTTATGTAGATTTATGTTTTACTTTTATGTGTTGAATCATCATATGATATATTAAAATCTTTTAGATCTTCATGTATTATTAGATTACCATTTAACAATTTATCATATAAATTTTGACGATATTATTCCTATTTATTATAAGTTAATTCGAAAGAATAAATGTATAAGTTTTGTTTTTAAAAAAAAGAATTTTATTTTATAGAATTAATACTATAAAACTTACTTTTGTATGATCTGGATCACAATAATCAAGTAAAGAATCAAGAAAATGATAACCAATAGATTCAAAATCTTTTATAGTAAAATGATGACCGGCTCGATCCTGTTGAGTTGATCCGCAAAATGTTGCCTAATAATTTTACATATTTATATAAAACTGTGACAAAAAAAACCTGAATCAAACCTCTAATGTATAACTATTCATAATACCCATAGACCACATGACAACTCGTCCAGTACCTTCTTTATGCTTTTGAACTTTATATTTGCATGAATATAATGAAAACTAAAAAACACACACATATTTATATATATGTCTACTATAAAATCTTATGAGAAAAATAAAATACAAACTTTCGTAGGGTCATTTTTTGATAACATTGCTGGAAATATTCTTTCTTTAAATCTTTCATTAGGTAATTGTTTATTTTCACAACCATAAACAAAAACATTTTGTTTTCTTGAATGACCATGAAAATCACAATAAAGAACAAGTTCTGTTTCATTCATAAATCTAAAATTTCCAAAATTATGAATGAATGAAAGAATAGATATTTTTTTTAACCTTTTGATCATTTCTCTTGTATGCCATATTGATGGATAAGCATCTTTAAGTATCGTTTTATAATTTCGATTTAAATCTCGACCTGCTAATGAACAACGATAATTTCCAACAATAACACCATCAGGATTAAGCATTGGAACTATTTTAAAAATGAAATTATCTCGCAGTAACTAACAGAAAAAACAAACAGATAATAAATCTTTTTTTTTCTTTTAATAGAAATTTTTTATACTTTTGCATCAGCTGAATCACCAAGTAAAAAATCTAATAAACCTTTCATCATCCATGATCCATTTGTTTCACCTGGATGAACACGTGCTGTTACAACAACACCTTTTTTGACTTGATTTTCAGGTGATGTACTTGTATTATTTACTTGTACAGTTGCTGGATTTGTTATTGTAAGCAAATAAATAAAATTTCCAGCTAATGTTCGACAAAGAACTTTTTGTTTACAATATTGACTTTTAAAACGATCATTTTGAATTTCATTAAGATAATCCTAAGAAATATATTAAGTTTACAACAACAAAAAAAAAACAAATATTTAATTAATATTTTACTTGTAAATCAGAATATGTATATGGATAACAATGAGCAAAATAATATGTATCATTATTATTTGGGAATTTACATGTCCAAGTAAGAGAATACATATTACATGAGGAATTGTCAGGTGCACTAAATAATAAATGATGAAGGTATTAAAATACAACAAATTATTCATTACGGTAGATTATTTTTATAGTAAACAATTTCTTCACCCCATCGTTGCCAACCAATACCTTTAGTTTCTGCATCATAAACACTGTACATCAAAGGTCTCATTCCACAACTATAAAGACTTGTAGGCTAAAAAAAGTTATTTTCTTAATACACATATGAAAAAAATAAATACAAATAATTATACTTTGAAAAAATTAACAATTGTAAAACGATATCGTTTATCAACTCGAATGTTTTGCATACGAAAATAAAACCATTGTGTATTACGTTTCGTATAAAGATCATATCGAAGATAAAGTTCATATTCAAATTCACCTCTATTAAAAGAAAAAAAAAAAACTACATCTATTCTTTGAAAGAAATTTTTATCTTTACACTTGAACAGCTTTCATTAAATTTCCACTTTCAAAACGTGATTCAAATAAAACAGTTGTATCTTCATTATTTCGAAGTAAAGTAGCTGCTTGTCGACAACCTTCTCTATTACCACCAATCCGAGATCGAATAAACTATTTTTTTGTAAAAATAATTTTAAAATCATATTAAATACATAACTTACATAACCACATGATTCGGGATTATAATTAAAAACACTACGACCAATATTTTCACCACCACTACGTATAGATGGTCCATAATTAGTTGCTAAAATTTATCAAAATTATTAAATATATTTGATGAATTTAAAGTTGTAACAAACTTGGTTTATAAAAAACTTCAGGTTGGATCGGTGAAATATTAATATGTTTAATACGTGGTTCATTTAATACTTCGACTTCCATAGGCCATCGAGGTTCAAATGAATAATCATCATTTGCACCTCCTCGACAATTTAAACCATATGGTATACGAGCTTGTCGAATAGGCTAATCAAATCAACACAAAGAATATATTAAATAAACATTTTTTTTTTAAACTTACTAGTTTTGCATCCAGGACGCTTGATTTACTTTTATATTCTAAATTATATTTTATAGATAAATATTCATTTTCTATGTATAACAAAAATTCTTTCTAATGATATCATGCAACTATTCACAAGCTTCTAGTTTACCAGTTGAAAAAGTTATATTAAGTTGATCAATAGACAAATTATGTCCTATACGACTATACACTGATAAAATATAAATATCATGCAATATAGAGAAAATACTCAAATTTATGATAAACAAAAGTGTAAAAACCCACCAGAAGAATTTTCATGTATATAATTTGAATTACAATTTACTGTTAAAAGAAGAAAAAAGGAAATTGAACTTTTTATTTATCTTTCTTATTAAACAAATGTTTCAAACAATAATTTAAAATAAATTCAAATAAATAACATACTTTCTGGTTCTTCGTCACTACTACTTGATTCAGGATCACTTGATGATGAAATAAGTTGAGATTTTGACGGGAAAAATCCATATTTTTTTATAACTTCTCCACGACCTTTATCATATAAAAGACTAATATTTAAAAATGTTTCAACATTCACATAAAACTAACCCGTAAAATAACCATAATGTTGAAGATGTTTTCGCATAAAACTATCATACGGACTCTTCAAAACCGCAGGATAATTTAAAATTTATTTTAAAAAAAATTATAAAATAGCATACCGATAACAATGAATAATTGTATTCGCCTATCTCCATGATTTCGATCTATTGATCTAAGATAAAGTCAAGTGTCTTTTTAATATATTGTCAACAGCATCATCAAATCGAACACTGAAACGAAAATAGAAAAGAAAGTTCTCGTTCATGAATATAAACATACAACTTTAAAAAGACTCAATCAGCAATGTTCGCTTTTGTTAAAAGATGACTTTTATTAAATAAAGAACATTACTGTTTTTTTGTTAACAGAAAACAAAAAAAGACTGATGTGTCGACCAGGAACTTTTCTCTCTTTTTCTTTTCTTTTTCTTCTTCTTTCATCACATTCTTATATTTGTTTTATTGTCAATATTTTCTTTCTTCAAAAACATAACCATTTTGATACAATTGACAGTTTCAATGACAATCTATTTTCGATGTAAAACCTTGTTTTTTTAAAAAGCAGAGAGAAACGTGATTGATAGTAAACGAACAATAAAAAATAATTCACTTCAAGGTCAAATTTGTGTTTTTTTTTATATTATATAATAGAACTTTGGGCTAGAATATGATACTCTTTCCAATTGTTCTTTTTTATGTTTCATTTTTTCCTATAGCAACGATCGGGCCAATCAATTGAATCTATGATTATGTTTTATATTAAAATTAGCGACATCCTTCATTTGTTTCTATTGTCAGTTCAGAATTACAAAAATAAGTTTTATGTAGAATTTGAAATTAATTAAAAGAAAACATCAGAATACAAGTCATATATTGGTATGAATTGATTCACGTAACGAGAAAAAATGAAAATGCATTCAACAAATCAATTTCGAGTAGATTGTTTTTGAAAAAGAAAAAAAGAAAAAAAAACTTCGATATTATATCATCAAATTGATATCTTCAAAATCTTAGATCGACTGTATTTATGATTACATAAGATAGAATGAATAAACAAATCCGTAATGATACAAATATAATCGATCAAATAAAATGATTGTTAAAATATTTTTTTTCAATAGGAGAATGTTGGTCGTGATAAATGAACAGATGAAGTCGTAGTTCATATTGCAATTACTTGATCTAATCACAAGGAATATAAATTCCACTATGTTAAGTAACGTAAAAAAAAAACGTATGCAAAATTTCAATACAAATAATAATTGAATATTAAAATTATTTTGAATAGAAATGTGAATGACTATGAATAATATCAAGGAGAACTAGCAATTAACTTGATGGTAAACAATCATTAGTGAAACATGAATGAAATCAATCGTGCATCACCTATCAGTAATCCAAATAATAAAATGAAGAAATATTAACACTTTGTTTCAATTATATGTATTGACTCTAATGCGCATTTGTATAACCTAATTATGAATCATTTTTTTATTTTTATTTTTTTAATGTTTAATCAATTAATAAATGAATATAGTGCATATGGTCCTACTCATTTTCAGCTTTTATTTTAAATATTTAATGTTCTTTGTCATTCAGATTTCATTATTGGAAAATTCAACAATGGTTAAAACGAATTCAAATTATTATTAGCCTATATTGAAGAAAGTTTATAATTAATTTTCTTTTAATCATGTAAATAGAAGCTTTATAATATAAAGAACTTTAACTCAAATTTTATTACAAATGAACTAATTTTGTCAAGTAAAAATTCTTGAAAAATATCAATTTAATAATAAATAAATGAATTTTTTTTTCTTTTAGTTCAAATAAATTTATGATGAAACTAATTACGAGATTTTTTTAAAAATAGGTATTCGATAAGAAGAATAGTCACCGTTTCGTTTGATAAACAAAACCGAAATAGACTGTTTTCCACATGAATGCACACGACGTGGCTTTTTGATATGTTGTTGCTTACCCGAAAAACAGCGAACAACCCTCAAATTAATCGCTATATACAAACACGTTGTCGACAGGAATAAAAGAAAAAAAATACTCTTTTAGTTAATTGAAACATGTCAACAAGTGAAGAAGCAAAAGGTCCAGCAAAATCGTCAATTATAGATTATGTCGAAAATTTTATTGACAAACGTAATAATGAATTACGTGCAACAACAGTTAATGAGAGTGATGTTCCATTAGCACATGGTATCGATCGAGATTCAATTGTTTTTAAAACGGATGCAGATGGTTTTCAGCGTAAAAATATTGTAAGCTTTCTTTGAGATCAATTGATCAATTATTCGATTATTTTAATTTAATTTATTATTTCTTAACTATTTTCTAGGATAAAGATCCATCAGAATTAACTGACGTTGATGCTGATGACTTCAATCTTGATTCAGATCCAATTATTGAAACACGCGAAGCTGATGAACAAGTCTATAAACAACAAGTCTATTTACGTCAATATCAACCACCAACACCTGATCCTATTGATATTCAAATTCAAGAAATAATTGTTAAACCAAAAATACAACGTCCACCAATTCATGTATATGTTGGACCAACTCAAGATAGAGATGCACAACGTACTCCATCACCCATTCTTATCAAAAGTGCTCCACCACAATTACCACCTTCTTCAGGCGAACCAATTGTCTATAATAAATATGTTCCACTTGATTATAAACCTCCACGTCAACAAGTATAAAATAGTATAATCATAAAAATAATTCGGTTATGTTTTTTTTCTCGTCTACTAGATCATTATTCATCGTTATCCTGAAATGCCACCGAAACCTCGTAAGTTCTGATGATCAGTATTTTTTATTAATAATTCTTTTTTTTTTTATTTTCATATTGAAAGGACCTATTGTTGTTGAACAATGGCTTCCAAATAAACCTGCACCAAAACGTGTTACCTATCGTCACGTCAATCGTGATGAACTTCTTCAAAGTGAAGCTCGACAACAACATAATCGTTTTATTGAATATACAAAACCACATACAACAGTTGAGCTTGAAATTGTTCGTTTACCAATAATTAAATTAAAACCAGAAGAATATCATGGTCAATCAAATGAACTTGCACGAGTTGATAATATTCGTTCACTAGCAAACGATCCAAATATACTTCAATGGCGAATTTAAACTCTAATAAATTCAACTAGAACGACACATCGACTTTTTTTCTTTTTCTTTCTTCTCTCTTCGTATATTCATTTATAATAATAAAATAAAAAGTCTCATAAATGATCATTAGATCTTTATCATATTATCAGTATTGCTATTAAGTCGTACTTGATTTGTCATCATAAATTATTGATCACAAAAAATAAAAAGAATGCGACGAATTGATTATATATGTATATATATGAACGTGTCTGTAAATAGTGATCAAATACTTTTCAAGTGACTTGAATTACAGCTACAAATCAACACAATGTGTGTCACGATTAATCGAGCACAACAATTTTGAACTGTGATCGATTAGAAAATGTTTAAACTATGAAGAATAGCGGCGCGTCAATCGATAGAGACATGTTGTAGACAGTCTGATAAATATCCTAAAGCATTTCTATTCTTATCTACCTTCAATTTATGTACACAATACATTGTTAAATGTTTCAAATAGCGGTAAATATACATTTCTCTTTTAGAATAGATATAATAATGTATCGAACAATTTTTAAAAAAGTATATCTAATCGTATTTGTCCTTGAATATCAAAGATTCTTATCGAACATATAATCGTCAATCATACAAGTGTGCCATGTCGAAGGTGAACAGAGACCGGATACATTTTGCTTGATGAACACACAAATAAATGAATGCACACAGATATATATATACATCTGTTATCAATATCATCTTTCTCTCTCTTCTTTTCATTGGATAAACTGTTTACTATATTTATATATGAAAGAAAAACCATTCAATTGATATAAATCGAGATCAATCATATATATTTTGATGCAATGAAACAACTTTGTTCTGTACTATTTACACTCGATTTGATTCTCATATATATGATTAGCCAAAATCGAAAACAATCTATAATTTTCATTGTTGAATTGTTTCATTCTTTATTTTTAGTGACAATGATAATTTGATTTAGTTTTTGTCGCCTGAGAATTTCCATTCAACTCTTTGTAGTTGATAGCGATAAAAAAACAAAATAAAATGTTTAATCGTATTCATACGATCACACCTAAATTGACTTTTTGATTCATTAGCAGACCAAAAATAATTTTCAATGGACTTGGCTTTTTTTTTCTTTTGTGTTTCTATCATTTTTAAAGAAGAGAAGAGAATAAAAAAGGACGTGCAATTTGAATTTTATGTGAAGGATAAGTGGTAAAAGAAACTGAACGTGTTTTATCGACTAATCTGGATGTTTGCATATGCACTCACAAAATATCGATACTACACTAACATCATCTCTAATTTTTTTTTCTTCTCTTCTCTTGTCGTTCTTGGTGGTAGGCGGGTGTATACTTATATATCATATCAATAGTATCATTCTGTTGTTCATTCAGAGAATAATAAGAAAGAAAAAGAAATTTTGCTTTTTATTATTATCATTTGTGTCATTTATCAATCAGGTAAGAAAAAAAACAATATTTAAAAGAAAAGTTAATTTTATGCAAAGAAAAGATCGTTTTCATTTGTGTCTTTTTCATTTGCTCTTTTTTTTCCTCCCTCTTATATATATATATATTAATTTAATCTCTTTTATTGAGAATAAGTTTGTCGTCATTGACCTCTTTTTTTTTATGCCGATGGAAAACAAAATGATGATCTTATAAGACAATACTTCACCTTGAGAGTTAGCATTTATTTATATATCATTATCTTTATTTCACAACACTTCTCTCGTATTCCTATTTCAAAAGATGAATATTCTTCTATTATCATCATCATCTTCCCCACTGATGTGCAATATGAGCCTTTCGAAGGTCATCATCCTTAGAGTGAAGATATATATATATACATATAATGTATATAAATACATGTATGTATTTATATTTAACTATATTGTATAATAACGTTCTTCCTTTATCTTGAGACTTTGCATTAACATACGAGAGATTTCCGTTAACCTTCAGGTTCAATTCATGTATAATATGTATATATACATGTCATACCTGTATTTACGCACCCGTCATATAAGTAAGTGAAGATGAGCCCTTGGTTCGGTCAGGATAGAATACGAAGAGTCTCACACTCAAGTGAAGAGAAAGAGAAAGAGTGATTTAACATGAAATTGACATTCGTCTTTCAAGGTTCAATTTAGTCTAAGCTCTAGCTGAGTGTATACATGTATGTGTGTGCGTATGGAACAAACTAACCAAAGAAGAAAAAAAATAGAGTGAGCGTGTATAATGATATGTTTCTGCGATAGTATGTTAAATGATACATATAATTTTGTGTCTCGTCATGCTGCCATCGTATACATCTCTAAGTTACTATTAATAAAAAAAGAAAAAACAATATGTACATGAGATTCTTCATTAGTTATTCAGGTAAGAATTAATCATTAAGACGAGAAAATCTTCGTATGAAATTAGTTGTTCACTTATAGAAGATGAATAATTTAAAAAGTAAATGAGATATTCAAAATGAAGAGTTGATTGAAAAAAAAGCGAACACCGTAAATCTCACTTGTCTTTGTCAATATAACTAATATATCTTGCTCTCCTTCACTTTATTTGTTTTATTTGTTGAATGCACTTCTTGAGTTTGTTTAATGAAATATTAATTACACACACTCTCTCTTTCTCTATATATTCTTCACTTGACGTCATCTGTTCATATATATCATAGGAATTTGACAATTCGACACCAGACTCTCATATCTTTTCAAATAGACCAATTCTTATTCTTTTTCAATTGCTTTCGACCCATAAAAAAAAAGAAAAACACTTGACTATACAATCTATTGACAGATAGATTGCATCAGTCGACCTAATTTGATTAGAATAGACGACAATGATAATCGTGACATTCTTTTGTCTTAACGTCGAGACAAGAAACTAAAAAAAAAAGAAACAACAAGCGATGTTAGAAAGAGAAATCAAGGATGACTTTCAAACCTCGTCCGACAATAAGGTAAGGATTAGTCTTTTATGAATCCTTGATCGTCTCTATATATTCAATTATATGTTGACATTATATATGTGCAAAATAGTTTATAATGAACTGTTCTATTCTGTAAATGAGATGATAGATTTAACGGATTCAAAGATTATTTTTTTTTTTGTTTTCAATTGAAAATGAAAATAACCATCATTATGTTCAACGACAATTACTGTCATTATTTCTACTTATAAATTCATCCAAAACAAGAGAATGTATGTATTTAAAGACTAGAAGAATCATTTAAGAGTGTATTTATGTTTGGTTGATGACTAAAGGATAGCCAAAGGTCTGTCGCTTCACAAGGCTATTTATGTGTGTCTATTGAATATGCCCTTTAGTTGGATATTGAGACGCAATCGAAACAGCGAGAGAGAGAGAGAGAGAGAGGGAGAGAGAGAAGTGTGAATTTGAGACGAGACGATGATTTAAGGACAAATCAATAGATGAAAAACGTTTGATCTCTTCTAGGATGAATAAAATTCTTGTAGAGAGAAAAGGTAAATGAATGAGAATCGACATTGACCACTCATCATCATAAAACTTTTTTTTTACTCTTGATCACACTATGTTATTGAATGATCTATCGTATTGTTAATATGCATGTGACAAACATACAACACATTGGCGTGAGATGTCCTGATGAGTAGCTTTAGTGAGTTAATTGTTTTCTTTCTATTTGAACGTATGTGTGCGCAGTGCTCATCTATATACACACATATATAGAGAGAGATAGATCATCGATCAAAGGCAGTATTATTGTCTCGAGAGTAGTGTACAATAGTATTAGTATTATTATGATTATTTTTATTATCATTCTTGTGTAACCAAAGCAGCAGTTGTTTGACTATAACAGGTGATATGATAAATAATGATTTCTTTTTCTATCTCTCATTAGAAAGTCTTCGATGACATATACATAGCAACTTCTATCGACATCTTATCAGTACGTGTTTTCGTCCATCATTTATCATCATCTTATTTGAACACTCCTCCTTCTACTGAAGAGTGTATGTATGAGACATACAAGCATGTGTTAGAAGAGGAGAAATCGGGCATGTTGTTGCTTGTCTGATAACAGTTATTATCTATCCCGCAGGAGGAGGAGAGGAAGAAGAGGAAGGTTATGTAGTAGTCTAGTCATGTTCACATTCTCATACTCTTTTTTTTTGTTTTTTTTTTTTGTATATAAAAATGTGTCAAAGACAAGGTTAATAAAAAAAAATATAAAGAAAAACAACCTCCGTAAGATTTATGTTTATTATTTTTTTTATGAGTTGAGTAAAGTCATCAATTGATGAGGAAAAAAAATGATTAGATGTGAATTGATCTATTTAGACATGTTTAAGTGGCTTATATATTTTTTCGTTTGATTTTCGTTATCTACCGATTCGCGATTGCCTTTTCTTTTCTTTTATTATAGAATATCAAAATAATACATATATGAAGCCTACTTTTATTATATAGTATGACAAATTGCAAGAAGCTTATTCTTATACTCTAACCTGTTATTTCATACATACATACACATACATATATATATTCAAGTTATTCATTCATTGTTGTCGGTATCCCTTAATGGGTTGTTTAAATTCATTATTTTATTTTCTCTTATATAATACGTTCATTCGTTTCGGACTGTATTTCGTACATATCTACATGTATATATACATATATATATATGCATACGTGTAGACTCAGTACTGTAATGAGACCACTGACTATTGTATTATTTTTTTTTCATGTTGCATTCACGCGCGCGCGCGCTCAACACTATTCTATATGAGAAAGGGAGAGGGAAGAATAATACTCATAAGTTCCGTTCCGGTTATACAACATCGAATACTATTGTTATTCAGTAGCTAGTAGTTATAAGTTGAGGATATCAATCAACAATAAAATCTTACTAGTAGTTCTACCTGTCTTTCAATTCGAGTAGGCAATCAGAGCAAATATGCTTGATTACATGTGTCAGCAAGCACTACTGTTACGTCGATATCTTATATATATAT